CTCCCCAAAACTTCAAAGCTGCTCTGTGCAACTTGTGCCTTTAATAAAAGCCCTGAGGCAGAAAGCCAGACAGATAACTACCAGTGCTTGAAGAAAGAAGCTGTCAGAGTATATGGGAATGTCTACCACTGATGTAGCTGAGATGAGACATGTGGTGCCAGAAGCATCCGCTACCTGGGAATCCAATTTCATAAATGACTGATACAAAATTATTACCAGTTTATGTTTTTCAACAAACAATTCTTACAAAAGCTATTTGAGGGATCCCTGTACAAAATGAATGGAAATTAATTTTAAAGAGGTAAAAATCCTCTTTTAAAAATGTAGTTATCCAAGTAATAATGACTGTGTTATTATTGCCAAGATACAAGTGATAAAGAAAAAAAAGGACTTTCAATGGACTCTGTGTCTAGTGTGTTATCTAACGTCTTGAAAATTTTTTCCTGAATTCCTTTTTCCAAATTACGGTAAACATTATTTATAAATAATTTATGTTTACGAACTACTTACTGCTCTACTACTCTGAAATGAAAAAGAGATAAGCAAGAAAAAATATTTTATTATTTGACAATGTAGCAAATACACTTTCTAGCACACTGTTAATGTTGTTTTTCACTCTGCTGGTTCCACAGCACATAAAAACAACTCTGAACAGGCTGTCCTTGCTACAAATGATGGATGATGGATGATGTCAACAAGAATATGAAAAATGCCACACTGGTTTCCAGCTTAATTTTCAACAAACAACTATATAAATACACAGATATGGACCAACATTTCTTTCTAAATGGAAGACAAACACTTAAAGTGAGGGATTTGGTAATTTGCAACTAGCTTCTTGTATACCATGTAGATACAATGGTTAATCATGTTAAGTTACTGATGAAGTTATTTACTCTTAATTGTCAGGTTGTTATTATAAACATAATGTTTTAAATGCACTAGGGGTTTGCAAGAACAAGAAGGGAAATATATTCCTTGCACCTAGAAGTAGAAGTGCAAGCAGACCAGTGTTTCCAGTATACTACCCACCACAACAAATAACTTTCTTTTGGATGGGCAGCACATCTTAGCACTCTCAACTCCACAGTCTCCAAATTCCAAATGAAAACAATTTGACAAGTATGATAACATAAAAAAATTCTTACCAGCTTTTGCCCAGACAGGACCTCCAGAAGGGCAAGCAGTTTAACACCATCTTTCATGTCTTCAAAAAGATCATCCACCACCATTGGAGGTTTCCGCTGTAAAAGCAAAGAGGAGTAAGTGCAGAAAATATCTCTTCCCTCTCTGTTTCTCTCTTTCTCTCTCTCTGTCTCACCTTTGTTACTTATGGTGGTGAAATCTGTAGGAAAGGCTTCTATATACTTTAATTCTTTATTTTGGATTGAGTTGCCAATTGCCTTTTGATGACTATGAGAACAAAACAATCCAGTGGAGATAAAACTCAATATTCAAAAACCTCAGAAGATTTAATGCTTGAGCCTTAATGTATGTACCAGCTTCTTTCTAGAAAGTGATTTTTCAAGGGCAGGATGGTGCGGGATAAGGCAAGGAAAAGAGGGTACTATCAACCTAAAAGATAAGAGAGAGATTATAGCGGGACACAAAAGCAGAGCAACAGCTCCATGGACCAACCTCAGCCTCACTCTGTGCAAGCCACACTACTGGGGCTTAACAAGGTGCAGCCCTTCTGTAGGACATTCTCACCACAGCAACCTCATGAGCTCAGTGATCTGCTGGAGGAGCACTGTTGGCATAGCTAAGGTTGCAGGTTCAATCTTACCGTGGGTTAGTTAGCTGTTATGTTGTGTTTTACAGCCTGATGAATCTAGCGAAACTTCTTTCAGTGTGTCATTGAACCCAAAATATCATAAGCACAAGAGTACAGACAGATCAGTGCAAATCCATCACTGCTGCTGGAATAATAAGCCAAAGCCCACATTTAATTCATGGAGCATCTTTCTGTTTTATGAAGGTTATTAAAATACTTAATATACTGGAATTCATCAAACATTGAATTAGGGTCTATCTTGGCTCAGGAGAAAGTAAAGAAGCCATTGTGGCAATGTTGATGGTCAATAGAGGGGAGGTGTTCACTGATTTATCACAGAATCAGAATTTGTTTTCCATTTAGCATCTGATTTCAAACTTTACAGTTTTCTGATTCTTACTGAATCTTATTAAAGGCCTAATGCTCAATTCCTGACTTTCAATTGTCTTTCTTTCTTTAAAAAAGAATGTGTTCTATCTAAGAGGTTTAACACCAAATGTTTGGTTGAAATGTGACTTTTTTTTCTCTACCAACTGATGTAGAGCATTTATATTTCTCTTACGACTGCATGAATTATAATGCCTGAGCAGTACAATTCTAATTTAAAATGTATTTTTCTCTCGTTATAAAATGAACAGTTGAACACATTTTGTTCTCATGCTGTGAAATGCTTGTTCAAAAATAACAGAGTTTTCATTTTTGATCATTCTCTTTCAAATTCCATCATTCACGCTGCTTCTTACTTATATAGCAAAAATGTAATAGTGACTTTATATTCTAAGCACATAAATAAAATTAATCAGAATAAAAGAAGCCATTACAAAGAAAACTATTTGGTGCAATAAGAATAAAAATTATTGTCTTAGCCATATACAGTCATTAAAAATGCAGTCTATCATTCAAAGTATCCACTTGTACCCAAATTCTTTAAATCAGGCAAAACAATGAGGAACAAGTTCATAAATGTTTGATATATTCAGTGAACAAATGCAAATAAAATTTTTCGTGCATTGTTATAAATATGCAAAAAGTAAGGAAAGCAGGGAATTCTCATGAAATAATAGAGATTTCAAGAAATTTTACACCCAAACATGATAAAATGCATGCCTTCATCTGTTTTGATTTAAAAAATACACAGGTGTCTGCCACTTTGAGGAACATGTCCTCTCACCTCACTTCTGCCTCTCTTCTTTCCCTCCTCTATTGCTACTCATGCTGCACATGCTTTCCTTTTTCCTCCAGCTGTTCCCTCCACAAGGCTCCAGAATTGGCCTTCCAATCAGCAGCAACAGCTGAACAGCTCAGCAGCCTACTGGCCCCTCTGCATGGGACATTGCCGATACCATTCTCTCCCTGATCTGTTCCTACCCAAAACTCTGTGACTAGACTGCCTAGTTCGCAGGCCTTTCTCTTTCTTTCTCCTCTCTTCTTCCTAACTGTGGTCACTGACCACTCAATCCTGAGTCTTTTGTTCTTTACAATTTTTTTTCTGCTTATATATGACTCTTAAATCCGGGTAAGCGACCCCTCCTAAACTTTGTCAAACATGTGGTAGGCACTTCATATCTATTGCTGGCTTGCTGGCTGATTGAATGAATGAATGAATGTAAATATGGTGTGAAACCAATAAACAGCTTTATTACACCAGAATAAAAAAAAAATTAGTAATTGCTGGACAAGTTTTGCCATCCCAGTTTGTATAAGGTATTGTTTATATACACCAAACAATCAATTAAGGTGAACTTTACTATGATGACTACCTCACATTTAATTTTTGGAACAATATTTTAATAGAAAATCTCTCAGCTAAAATATTTCTCCTGTCACATGTACAAATATCTATACCACCAAGATGGTGACTTTGGTAAGACTTGGGTCACAGTGTTGAAGGTCAAAAAGGAGACTTAGAGATGCAGATAACTTATTGGATCTTGACTTACTGGAAAATACAGATAGACATCTATTAAGCACTTTTCAAGACCACAATGATCTTTATTTATTAATGGGAAATTGTGGTAAGCTCTCTTTTTTTGTACAATATTTGAGGAAATTATATTCTCTTTTGGCCTTCCCAATCCTATTTAGCACGTTCTTCCATGGAAGCAAGACATGTTCATGCTGAATCCGAGGTGGTTCAAACAATGGGCCTTCTGACTTGGTGATGGGAGAGGGAGATGGGAGTGAACAAGAGAAGAAAGTAGTACTTTCTTCTGTGCCACCCCTTCTAGAAGCTTTCCTCAAACTAGATTTAAACTCAAAGTTCTGGCTCTAGAAGGGTTGCCTGGTCTCAAAATGTCTATCAACTCAGGGAAAATGCACAGGCCTCTGTTGCTGGAGAGTTGACCTTCCCTGGCTACAGCCTTGGTTAACTCATGAGTGGAGCAGACCTCACAGCGTGCTTTCCTCTGTTTCTCCTCCTCCCCCTTTATTTTTGCCACAGGAGCCCCCTTGATAATATGTAATGTGATTCATTCCCTTTCTCTTAGGACTTAAAGGAGAGCAACTATTTCTTCCTGAACCTTATGAAATGTAGGGAAGCACAGTCATCTTTGATGTAACTTTTACTGACCATTTCCTATATTTTGGGAAAATAATTCGTTCTCTAACATTGTGTATGTGTGTGTGAATAACTTGTGTCTCTTTACCAGTCTATAGGTATCAGGATGTATTTAACATCAGGATGTATAAACACTTATCCACCATCTGTTTCATATTTTTATTCATGAAAGGATAGCTATGTTTGCTGTACTGCATGTCAATTTTATGTCCTGAGAAACAATTACATTCTGAAGGTGAAAATGATTAAGAGAATAATTTGATGAAAAAATTGTACTCAAAATAACTATTTGGTATGTGATATGGTTTAGCTCTGTGTCCCCACCACCCAAATCTCATCTCGAAGAGTAATTCCCATGATCCCCACATGCCAAGGGAGGAATGTGGAGGGAGGTGAATTGCATTATGAGGGTGGCTTCCCCTATGGGTTCTCGTGGTAGTGAGTGAATTATCACAAGATCTGATGGTTTTTAAAGTGGCATGTTTTTCCTGTGCTCTCACTTCACTTCCCTCCTGCCGCCTTGTGAAGAAGACGCCTGTTTCCCCTTCGCTTTCTGCCATGATTGTAAGTTTCCTGAGGCCTCTCCAGCCATGCGGAACTGTGAGTCAATTAAACCTCTTTCCTTTATATATTACTCAGTCTTGGGTATATCTTTATAGCAGTGTGAAAATGGACTAATACAGTATGAAACAAAAATTTCAGAAGTTCTCACATTTAAACATTATATATGAAATAAAAATGATAGTGCATAAAGGAATTATGACAAAACAGTCCTAGTATAGACTACATACAACATATGAATTCCAATATTTAGTAGGTATTTCTATGGCTTAGATATTATTCAAATTTAGTAGGTGTTTAAGTAAGGATAAAAGGGGGAAGATAATAAAATAGGAAGGGAAGAAAAAATGAATAAAATATTGTTAAACATCTAAATGTGCTGAGCACTATTATGTGGACTCCTACCTGCTCTCTTATTTAATATTCACAGCCACTACCTATGGGAACACCACCCTCTCTTGAAAAGCAAAGAATCTGAATCTCAGAGACATTAAGTGACTGGGATTAGAGCCCAGGATTTTATACTTTGAGTCGCCTTGTTAGACAGGAAGCTTAGTATAAAAATGATGGCATTAACGTTAATTTTTCCTGAATAATACACAAACTCATAAATGTAATCTGTATTTATTATCAATAGAAAAAGTATTGACTGATCAGCTGAAGTGTCTGCTACTCTACTAGAAACACTAACTTTATTAACTTCTAAATGTGGATTTAAGAAAGACTAAAAAAGTAATAAGAGAAGCATCATATGTACCAACATATCTAACATATACTGGCATGGACACAAGCCAGCTCAAGTCACATCTGTGTCTCGATGTCCCCCAGTGGTCACAATTGTGCGACACTCTATCTTGTTATGTGAGTGACCTGAGCTGGGCCCATGATATTCTTGGGTCCAGAAGATGTCTGGGGTCACATTGTCCCATGGCAGTGACCTAGGGACTAGTGTCATCAGGTCATGCTGCTGAGGTCCCAAGAGTCATTCTGACTCTGTCTTTCTCACAACTGGGTTAGTCAGTGTGTTGGGGGTTCCCAAGAACACTTTCGGGCTTGATGATTCACTAGAAGGACTCAGAACTCAGAAGTGTTACTGAACTCACGGTTACAGATTATGACAGCAAAAAGATACAGATTATAATCAGCAAAGCAGAAAGATACATGCAGTGAAGTCCAGAAGAAACGATGCACAGGCTTTCAGAGGTGAGTGACCTTTCCCTTCCCAGGGGAGTCACATGAGGATGTACTTATTTTTCCCAGCAATGACATGTGACAACCCATGTGAAATGTTCACAACCAGGGAAGTTCCCCCAAGTCTTAGTGTCCAGGGTTTTTATTGGGGGGCATCTATGACATAGGCAAGCAATATCCATGTGACTGACCTCAGCTACTCAGCTCCAGCTCTCTCCCACACCCTCAACCCCAGCAAAAAAAGGTATTAACCCAAATCACACTGTTAACATAAAAAGATCTGATCAAGGTGGTACAGCACGCCCAAGGCCCCAGGACACACAAAAACTGATGTTTACTCTAAATATAGTGTGGCTCAAGGTCTCAGGCATAGAAAACCACACTATTTGGGCAGAATATTCTGAGGGCTCAGAGGTTGTCTCCCAGAAGCCAGCCAAGGTCCATTCTTAAAGACGGGCCCTTCTTCGGAGCACAGAGTCTGAGCACCGCAGGCCTGCTGAGTTAAGTCTGTCTTACCCAGTTGGCTTTTCCTTCTTTTACTTTGAGACACCTAGTAGCCTTTCAATAGCTCTTTCTTCTTGGTTAAATCATCTAAAATTAATTTTATTTACTTGCAACAAAATGAGGCACAACTGACATGTGTCTAATTTCTTAGTGTGTAAACACTATTCTGAGTGTAACAATTTAAATGTTAGTGTCTCCCCACTTCCACTCACATAAGTGACCAAAAGTAAATTTGTTCTGTAAACCAGAAGTGCATATTTTCAGAAGAACCTAACCTAATTGTATTTTGTTTTAAGACTGGAGAGGCATATTTATTCTATTCTTGATAAATTTATATAATACATTCTTAGAATATTTGATTCCAAACTGTATGTATGAATTGGCTTGACATAATAATTTAAATATAAACATAAGGGCAATTTAAACATTGGCAGTAATTTATATCAGTCAATTCAAGGTCAGTGACTGGAGAACTATGTTACGATAAACCCGAGGTCAAAAAAACTTTAGGAAGTAGCCCTGTAAAAACATATACATTTGTAGATCGAGGGCTAAAAATTTATGAATGAATACCATGAAGCAAAGGATGTACAACATCCATCACACATCTGTTTTTTTAAACAGCATGGTTCCAAAATGATACATCTCTTTACAAAGTAAACGTTACAGTATTAATAACTATAGAGACGCTATCGGGATGAGCTCCAGATGCGCTGCTGACTTCCATCAAGCACCCGTGGTCCATCGCTTAAGGCATCCATCCTAATCCTGGGGCTTTAAGAACATCTTCTTTGCTTTAATCGGTTTTATGTCTCCATTTTCATCTTCTTCGTAATTGGCATGGTCTCTCTTTCTGGCAAACTTTTTCCCAATTGTCCCCACCAAGGTCTCATATCTTCTAGCCATCTCTTCATCTGACACATCAAACTCCACAGTTCCATCTTCAACTTCTTCTGCTTTGTGCTTAGCATTCATCTGAAGCATCAATTTCTCAACCTCAGGATTAAATCCTCTGAATGACATTCTTCCATAGAGAAGATCTTCACATAGTAAGAAACTCTGCTCTTCTATTATGAAACTCTCTTTTTCTTTAAGCTCTGGCAAATCCAAGTACCAGTGTTCTTCATTAATGATTTTCTTTTCTTCTTCTTCTAGTTGTTTCTTGGTTTCCGAGTCCAGTTCCCTTTGCATAAACTTCATGCGCAGCAGATTCTTGAACAACTTTGTCTTTCGCTCGGCCGCCATGGTGGCTTCCGCCCAGCACCGCACTCCGGCCGCGAGCCTCACTCTTTTTTTTTTTTTTTTTTTTTTACTAAAATAGTCCACCTTTATGTGCAGTTTCAATTACCTAGGGTGAACTGTAGTCTGAAAATATTAAACAAAATTCCAGAAAGAAACAATTCATAAGTTTTAAATTGCACACTTCTGCATAGTGTGATGAAATCTTTTGTTGTTGTTGTTGTTGTTGTTGTTGTTGTTGTTGTTGTTGTTTGAGACGGAGTCTCGCTCTGTTGCCCAGGCTGGAGTGCAGTGGTGCAATCTTGGCTCACTGCAACCTCCGCCTCCCAGGTTCACGCCATTCTCCTGCCTCAGCCTCCCAAGTAGCTGGGACTACAGGTGCCCACCACCACGCTGGCTAATTTTTTTGTATTTTTAGTAGAGACGGGGTTTCACTGTATTAGTCAGGATGGTCTCGATCTCCTGACCTCATGATCCACCTGCCTTGGCCTCCCAAAGTGCTGGCATTACGGGTGTGAGCCACCGTGCCCGGCCGTGTGATGAAATCTTACACTGTCCCTGTCTGGGACATGAATCATCCCTTTGCCCGGGGTTTTCATGCTGTCTACTCAACCTGACCCACCTGCTTGTCACTTCATAGTTGTCTAGGTTATCACATCTACTGCTGCGGTATCACAGTGCCTATGTTCAAGTCATCCTTATTTTACTTAACAATGACCACGAAGTGCAAGTGTAGTGATGCTGGCAATTTGGATATGCTGACAAGATGCTGTAAAGTGCTTCCTTTAAGTGAAAAGATGGAAGTTCTCAATAAGAAAATGAAAAAAAATCTGAGATTGCTAAGATCCATGGTAAGAATAAATCTTTTATTTGTGAAACTGTAAAAAAAGAAAATTGGCTGTCACACCTTAACAAAAGTTATGGCCAGAGTAAATGATAAGTGCTTAGTTAAGATGGAAAAGGCATTACATTTGTGGGTAGAGGACATGAACAGAAATGTGTTCTAGTGGACAGTGATCAAGTTCAGTACCATCTGTGGCTTCAGGCATCTACTGGGGATTGAGACATCCCTCTTTTGAATGTAGTTTAACTTTTTAATTTTTAAATGTGCTAAAATACACATAATATAAAATTTACCATGTTAGCCATTTTAAGCATACAGTTCAGTAGTGTTAAATATTTCCACATTGTTGTATAACTGATCTCCACCATTTTAACTTTGCAAAATTGAAAATCTATACCCGTTAAATAACAACTAGCCATTCCCTCTGCCCTTCAGCCCCTGGCAACTACCATTCTATTTTCTTTTCAATGATTTTGACTACTCCAGATACCTCTTATAAGTAGAATTACACAGTATCTGTCATTTCATGACTGGCTTATTTCACTTATTATTATGTCTTCAAGGTTCATCTGTGTTGTAGCAGGTGTCAGAATTCCATCCTTTTAAAAGGCTGAATTATATTCCATCATATGGATATACCACATATTTTATATCCATTCATCCATCAATGGACACCTGGGTTGTTTCCATTTTCTGGCTATTGTGATTAATGCTACTATGAGCATGAGTATTAACGTCTCCTCAAGACCCTGCTTTCAATTCTTTTGGATATACACCCCGAAGTGGAATTGCTGAACTACATGTGAATTCTATGTTTATTTTATTTTTTTAAGAATTGACATACCATTTTCCATAGTGACTGCTTTGTGGAAGAATAAAAACCTACTTTGAAATATTCCTAGCATGTCATCACTTTATGAGGTACAAATTTCTACAAACCTTCTGCAATCTTAGAATCCCTATTGACCAATATCATGCAGCTATAAAGTAGATTTTCAGTATTAATAATTTAGTATTTAACAAAGAAAATGATAAAAATCACCTGTCTCATGCCAGGACCATCTAGGTCCTCATTTGCCATCATCCATAATCACTTTTAGTCTTCTAGTAAATGCTTTTTCCTCTTGGGAAAAGAGCTCTCAAAACATTTTATCATCAAAAAAAGCTACAACATTATACTTTAAAATACTAAACACATATCCTATGGCTTAATATTTAGGATTGCTGGGTACCTTGTGATACCAATAAAACTGAACCAGAAAATGCTTAGAACAGCGCATGCCACAGTTAAGTATTCACTTCAGTCGAGGCACCCACAGTATTGAGCACAGTCAGGGTTGCTCAACAGGATGAAGAGTCCTGACCTGAGATAGTGACTAAATCTTCTTCTGCAGAGCATGTAGGGAGGTCCCAACACAAGGGTTGACTCTCCATGTGCATTCTGTCCACCCTTGAAACCTCTGTGCACAGAACGACCCATAACTTCTAGAACCAGGTAAACCACTACTTCTGGTTTATATAAGTTTCAGGTAGGAATTATTTCACAGGCTAAGATATTGTATATGGAGAAAGATTCCCATCCCAGGGCCAGTCTGGAGTTTTTGCATGCTCTGATGATCATCTTCTGGGTAGAAACAGCAAGTTAAACAACAGCAATATAGAAGAGTGGAAAGGAAAAGAGGCTAACCAGCAGATATGGAGCAAGTGACCTTCCCAAAGGTTGGCAAAGAACCTTTCACAGTAAAATGTATCAGAATGCCAACATATCCTTGGGCCAGATCAAGTAAATCATGATTAAAACCACTGACAGTAGTCAAACAAAATTAATGTCCAATAGTTTTTGTCATTTTATTCAGAAAATCTAATTGAATGTTTCCAATATCTTCAAAACAAGATGTAGTAATTTAAAAATTGTGCGTGTAATCTGCTTCTCTTTCACTCCCTTTATAACAGCACTATTGTGATCATTTTCCACTTCTGCTTAGCAAAGGTGGGAAGGTCGTTCCCATTCTTTTTTATTTCCTGTGACAGATAGCATAATCCTTTCCACTTCCTCGATTATTTAATTCAATTCTGAAAAAATATACCAAAGGCAATAACTGCCCCCCAGCTCAGCTCTAAATCTGCTTGGAAAACTCAGCTCTTAACAATTTTCAGATGAAATAAAGTTTGTTTTACTCTATAGTATAAAAGAAGCATATTCTCCAAGTTATTTATTTGGTACCAGTTGGGGTTACCCTTGACTCCTCTCTTTTGCTCACACTCAATATCTGATCCATCAACAAATCTTGTTGGCTTCATTTTCGAAATTCTTCCAGTATCCAACCACCTCTCATCACCTCCACTGCTACTATCTTGGTCAAAGTCACCAGTACCTTGGCTGGACGGCTTCGATAACCTCTAACTTATCTGCCTCCTTCTGCTCTTGCTTCTTTTCAGTCTATGTTCAGCAGAAGAGCTTCTTGATCTTTACTGTCTCTCTCCCCCATTATAATGGGTATAAACTTCATAATGAAATGGTTACTTTTTTTTTTTTTTCTGTTTTGGTCACTGCTACATTTTCAGCACCTATAATATTCCCTAGCTTATTAAACAGCATTTTAAAATATTTATTGAATAAATGTATGATAAATAAAATATATTTCTGATTGGGCATGGTGGCTTACACCTGTAATCCCAGCATTTTGGGAGGCTGAGATGGGTCAATTATTTGAGGTCAGGAATTCAGGACCAGCCTGGCCAACATGGTAAAACCTCGTCTTTACTAAAAATACAAAAACTAGCTGGGCATTGTTGTGGGCACCTGTAATCCCAGCTACTCAGGAGGCTGAGGCAGGAGAATCACTTGAACTCGGGAGGAGGAGGCTGCAGTGATCCGAGGCCATGACACTGCACTCCAGCCTGGGCAACAGAGCAAGACTCCATGTCAAAAAAATAAATAAATGAATAAAATAATATATTTCTAAAGAAGAAACTTGGACAAACATTAATATTAGCAAAATGTTTATTAATCTGCATAAACTTTGTGAGATCTAGATCTTTGTTATCCATAAACTAATATATTCTATAAATGAATTAACAAATGCTATTCATTTTGAAATGGGGATTTTCCTTTGCAATGTTTCAATTACATATTTGGAAATAACTAATTCATTAGAATGTTTAGGATTAACAAATTAAAGTGGGTTTATTTTTTTCCCTAGCTTTATTAAGATATAGTTGACAAATAAAAATTGCATTTATTTGTTATACAAGATGATCTTTTGGTATGTGCATACAATGTGAAATGATTTAATCAAGCTAATTAACATATCCATCATCTCATCTACTTATCATAGCTTGAGAAAAACAACTAAAAAATTATTTGGGGGGTGAATTACTGCATTTACCTTTTCCTCTTTGCCTCTTTATCTTCCTGTCTGAGCTCATTAATAGTCTCACCAAAGTGTGTACAAGGAAACAGATGGGAGTAAAATTCTATTTGGAACATGTTTCCATGTTATCTTTCAGCACTGCTGGTGGAAAGACAACTAAAGAAGATGAAAGCCACCACTAAAGTGATATTTTATGACTATAAGGATGTCATTTAAATTCACGATGAGCATGGATTTTTGTTTTTTAGAAAAAACATGGAAAATCCAAAATGTTCCTTTTAAAAGACAGCCTGCATCTAACTTGGTATTAAAACAAAATGTGCTCTTAATGGAATCTGTTATAGGTTGAACTGTGCCTACTCACCAGAGATATGTTGAAATCTTAACCCCCCAAAATGCCGCAGAATGTGGCCTTATTTGGAAATAGAGTCTTTAGAGAGGCAATCAAGTTGAGATGAGGTCATTAGCATGGGTCCTAATCCAGTATGACTAGTGTCCTCCTACAGTGGGGAAATTTGGACACAGACATGCACAGAGGCAGAGATTGAAACGATACAGCTACCCAGAGACTTAGAAGGAGCTTGGCCTTAGAGCCTCCAGAACTCTGAGATAACAAATTTTTCCTTTTAAGCCACCCAGTATGTGGTACTTTGTTATGGCAATCCCAGCAATTAATGGGGAACCTAAATAATGTTTTATAAATGTTTTGTTTTCCTGCAGTTTTTCTAAAAAGTGAGAAGATGCTCGTATCATGCCTGAGTTCATCCCAAAGATAGTATTTAAAATGTTCAGTGCCTTTTGTTGATGGCTCCATAAATGTAAGGC